CTATTTAGATTAATTAAAAATTGAAGACAAGTTAAAGTCAAGCTTCTCTGTCACACTGGTTGCATTTGAGTGCTCAGTGGCCACACCTGACAGGGACCATCATGCTGGACAGCAGGTTGTGCAGAGTTCTGCTGGACTGTGTCTACTGAGGAGTGGCCTCCGGAGCGTGATGTGTGATGAGGAAGCGCAGGTTCCGAAGGTCACACTAAGCAGAGCCGAGTGAGCGAGCAGCCAGGCAGGTGTGCTCCGCCACACCACAGGTGGCTGTTCCCAGGAGCAGCAGGGAGCCAGCTGCGTCCTCGTGTCCCATCCTCTCTCCTCTGCTCACGATGGCTGAGTGTGCCAGTGGTGCTGCCCTCTGGAAACGCTGAGGATGCTGACGAGAGTTGAGCACGAGACACTGCCAATAAGTCCTGGTCTTGCTCCATAAACCCACATTGTGAGGGCAGCACGGTGCCGGCCGGGAGGGCCTCCAGGTCTGTGGCCAAACACTGTGGCCTTGGCTACATATTTGAATGTTCCCTTAGGCCAGCGGACTCATCTGCATAGTAGAAATCACTGTTGTCTCTGCCTGGAGTCTTGGACTTTGATGGGTGGCTTCTGGCCACCAGCCTGTCGCTCTGATTCCTCCGGATTCCCCCTCCTTCGTAGCTTCCCATAGATGCTTCCAGGTTGAACAGGAGGAGTTCATTTTGGCCTGTGTGTCCTGTGTGCAGGAGTCCAGGGAATGATAGGCTGTCTCGCGAGGCCAGCAGACACCCAGTGCCTAATGAGCGCACATCCCGAGTACCGTGGAAGTTGCTGCCGTGCTCAGTCCCTTCTGTGTGCTCCCTCTTCTCAGGACAGATGTCAGGTGTCAGGCTCCTTCCTGCTGTTCCACAGCCAACTTCCTGTGGGTGAAGTCCAGGTGGAAATGTATCTTGTCATCGTTCTAGGAAATTGTGGTTATTTCTCTTGTTCTTCTGCTTCAAGTGGTTTTATTTTGCTCTGCCCTTCGAACCTTCCTGGAGAATATTCTCAAGGAAACGAAGGCCTCTTCCAAATGAATCATTTACAGCAGAAACAATGGCTGTGGGACGGATGTCACCACACGCCCAGCCCCTCTTTTTTTCCAAGCACCGTAGAGCTTTCCCTGGTGACAGGCCAGGTCCTCGCAGCGACGGCCGCGGCCAAGCTCAGAGGACTCACTGTGCCAGGCAGGTCAGTGTGCTCAGAACATAGGAGCCACAGCGAGAACTCAGCAGGAAGCTCGCCCTGAAAGAAGGGAGGGGGCGAGGACTGCAGGTGCTGGATGGGGAAGCCAGGCTGCAGACCAGCTCGCAGGAGGCCCTGAGCTCGTCAGCAGCACAGGAGAAGGTGCCCAGGGTGAAAGCCGGATATGGAAGGGCGGGGGGGGACACGTAGTCGCTGTAAGTGGAGCATCTGGCACACATCTGCTAGGCCCCAGGAAGCAGGAGCTGCTGGTATGGGGGGCATCATCCCCCTGAAAGGACGTCGCAGCGTGAGCCGGCACGTCAAGTGTTTGTTGACAATTATAAAATTTGATTTTGAGAAGCTTGTATCTGCCTATGGTGACGATTCCGACTTCTGCCCAGTGTATAGAGACTCCTGATATCAACGTGGTATTGAAAACGCAGTTTTTCGCCCTGGCCGGTTTGGCTCAGCGGTTAGAGCGTCCGCTTGCGGTCCGGAGAGACCCGGGTTCGGTTCCCGCTAAGGGCATGTACCTCGGTTGCAGTTTGTCCCCGGCCCTGGTTGGTCGTGCGGGTGGCAGCCACTCGATGTGTCCCTTTCACATCAATGTTTCCCTCTCTCTCTCTTCCTCTCTCTCCCTCCCACTCTGTCTGTACAAAAAATGGAAAAATGTCCTCAGGTGAGGATTAAAAAAAAAAAAAAAAAGAAAGAAAACGCAGTTTTTCATTTTTGCTTATCTGTTTTTATTATTACTGGGATGTAATGGATGCATAACAGTGTACTAGCTTTGGGTGTGCAACATTACGATGTGATGAGTGTGTTGTAAAACAGTCACCACAGCAAGGCTGGACAGCACCCCTCACCATACAGTCACAGGCTCCCCCTTGTGCTGAGAACCATAGGGTCCACTTGGTGCAGTGCTGTTAAGTCCAGTCTCTGCCCTGTGCACTGCATCCCACTCAGTGCAGTGCTGTTCACTCCAGTCTCTGCCCTGTGCACTGCATCCCAGGTGTCTATGCATCCCACTCGGTGCAGTACTGTTAAGTCCAATCTCTGCCCTGTGCACTGCATCCCACTCAGTGCAGTGCTGTTCACTCCAGTCTCTGCCCTGTGCACTGCATCCCACTCAGTGCAGTGCTGTTCACTCCAGTCTCTGCCCTGTGCACTGCATCCCACTCAGTGCAGTGCTGTTCACTCCAGTCTCTGCCCTGTGCACTGCATCCCAGGTGTCTATGCATCCCACTCGGTGCAGTACTGTTAAGTCCAATCTCTGCCCTGTGCACTGCATCCCACTCAGTGCAGTGCTGTTCACTCCAGTCTCTGCCCTGTACAATGCATCCCAGGTGTCTATGCATCCCACTCGGTGCAGTGCTGTTCACTCCAGTCTCTGCCCTGTACAATGCATCCCAGGTGTCTATGCATCCCACTCGGTGCAGTACTGTTAAGTCCAATCTCTGCCCTGTGCACTGCATCCCACTCAGTGCAGTGCTGTTCACTCCAGTCTCTGCCCTGTGCACTGCATCCCACTCAGTGCAGTGCTGTTCACTCCAGTCTCTGCCCTGTACACTGCATCCCAGGTGTCTATGCATCCCACTCGGTGCAGTGCTGTTCACTCCAGTCTCTGCCCTGTACACTGCATCCCAGGTGTCTATGCATCCCACTCGGTGCAGTACTGTTAAGTCCAATCTCTGCCCTGTGCACTGCATCCCACTCAGTGCAGTGCTGTTCACTCCAGTCTCTGCCCTGTGCACTGCATCCCACTCAGTGCAGTGCTGTTCACTCCAGTCTCTGCCCTGTACACTGCATCCCAGGTGTCTATGCATCCCACTCGGTGCAGTGCTGTTAAGTCCAGTCTCTGCCCTGTGCACTGCATCCCAGGACTGGCTGGAAAGCTGGGAATCTGGACCTTCCAACCCCTGCACCCATTCACCCGCTCACCACCCCTGCCTCTGGCAGCCTTCCATCTGTTCCCTGTATCCGAGTTTGGAATTTTTTTAGATTTCACTTACAAGTGAGATTATACTATTTGTCTTTCTCTGTCTGACTTACTTCACTTAGCTGATGCCCTCAAGGTCCATCCATGTTATTGCAAATGGCAGGATTTCCTTTTTTTTTGCTGAGTCATATTTGAGTGTAAGTGTGTGTGTGTGTGTGCGCATGTGTGTGCGCGCGTGCTTGTGTGTGCACATGCCACATTTTCTTTATCAACTCGTCCATCAGTGTTCCCGTGTCTTGGTTATTGTGAGTAGTGCTGCAATGGACATAGAGGTACAGATGTCTTCTTGAGTTAGTGTTTGTTTCCTTCAGGTAAATACCTAGAAGTGGGATTGCTGGGTCAAATGGCAGTTCCATTTTTAATTTTTTGAGGAAACTTCATACTGCTTTCCACAGTGGCTGTATTCGTCTGCATTTCCCACCAGCAGTGCTGAGGGCCTTCTCTTCTCCACACCCTTGCCAACATTTGTTTGTTGATGTATTGATAATAGCCATTCTAACAGGCATGAAGTGGTATCTAATTGTTTTTGTTTGTTTGTTTTTTAAATTTTTTTTCTTTATTAACTTTAGAGAGAGAGGGAGAGACATCGATGAGAGAGAGCATCAACTGGCCACCTCCTGCATGCCCCCCACTGGGGATTTGGCCCACAACGTGGGCATGTGTCCTGACCCAGAACCGAACCAGTGACTTCTTGGTGCATGGGTCAGTGCTCAACCACTGAGCCACACTGACCGGGGTCATTATGTTCTGATTTGCATTTCCCTGCTGGGTGATATTTAGCACCATACCTGTATGTCTTCTTTAGAAAAATATTTAAAATATGTTTTTATTGATTTTTTTAGAGAGAGAGGAAGGAAGAGAGAGGAAAACATCAATGTGATGCCCTGGCCAGTTTGCTCAGTGGTTGGAGCATCGGCCCATGGACCAAAGAGCGGCAGGTTCAGTCAAGGGCACATGCCTGGTTGCTGTTCAGTCCCTGGCCCTGGCCAGGGTCCTGTGGGAGGCGCCAGTCTCTGTGCCTCTCTCATGTCGATGTTTCTCACTCTTTCTCTCTCTTTTTCTCTCCCTCCTACTCTGTCTGAAGATAAATGGAAAAAAAGGTATCCTCAGGTGAGGATTTGAAAAAAAAAAAAGTATCGATGTGAGAAACATTAATCGGCTGCCTCCTGCACGCCCCCCACTGGGAATCAAGCCTACAACCCGGGCCTGTGCCCTGACTGGGAATGGAACCAGGACCTCTCAGTCTCCTGGGACAGCGCTCCATCCACTGAGCCACATCAGCTGGGCAGAAAAATGTCTATTTAAATCCTGTGCCCATTTTGTACTAAGATTATAAAAACAAAATATGAATAGGCTTAAATATGTTTTAAAAAGTTGAACCCCTTATTTCAAACCTTTCGATAAAGAACGCCTGAACCCAGATGGCTTCATCGGTGCACTCTTCCAGTTATTTAAGGAGGGAAGACCCCTATCATATGAAGATTCATACCGAAAATGTCAGGCAAGGAGCGAACTCTTCTCAACTTGCATAGCCTTAATTTCCAGACCTGGCCAGTTATCATAAGACATTATCACAGACTAGTTTCTTGCATGAACACAGATGGAGAAAACATAAACTAAAAAAGACTGAATCTGTATAAAAAGATGACCACACTAAGCTTATCCTAAGAATTCAGTATTATCTTATTCCGTTTTCCCATAATCTCCGCATGCCTGCACTCTTGGGGTGGGAATCACCCGAGGGCGTGGACACCTCGTCTTCCTGAGGGCGGCCGGGGCAGGGCCTCACCCTGTGCCGTCTCCCCTGCAGGTCGTATCTGACCCCTGTCCGCGACGAGGAGGCCGAGTCCTTGCGGAAAGCGCGCTCCAGGCAAGCCCGGCAGACCCGAAGGTCGACGCAGGTGAGTGTGCCTTCGTCCTCGTGTCCTCGTGGCCTGTGACAGCCCCGAGTTCCCACTCACTGGTGACGGCACACGGCGCTGCGTCTGTGCCTGCGCAACAGGCTGTTACCTGGTGACCAGCAGTGAGGCTCTGCCACCCGCTGACGCTGCAAAGGGCGAACCTAAGAAAACTCCGTGGCAGCGGAAAGAGGCCAGATCTGACCCCACGTACCGTCAGATCCCGAGACGACGGCAGAGGGGCCTTTGGGGCCAGAGGGGGGAAGGGACTGCTGGGGGGTGTGGGTTCCTTCGGGCTGAGAATGTTCTGATGCTGGCGTGTGGTGAAGCTGCACCACTCAGGGAGCATGCTGCGTGGCTGCCCTCAGTGCCAAACAGAGCAGACCAGTGGGCCGTGGGCTGAGGCAGGGCTGACGGGAGAGGTGGGCAGAGCACGGTCAGGTTTGGCTCATGGGCCCCAGTGGGAAGCTGTTGGAGTGAATAGTGGGCCCCAGATGAGAGCGTGAGCCTTGTCCCTCCCTTCACTCTCTCTAAAAATCAATAGAAAAAAGTCTTTGGGTGAAGAGTACAAAAAAAGAGAGAATAAGGGAGTAAATTAGTAAATAATTTAAAAAGAAGAAGTGTGAGCTGTGAATTTAGTGCTTGCTCAGCTCCTTGTAGTGTTGGAACCTCCCCCTCCCGAAGACTGAGCTGCTGCCTGGGGCCTGGGAGCCTCGGTGTGGGGATGACCGGCCCTGAAGTGATCTGGGAGGGAAGGTGGAGGGAAGCTGGTTAGGAGACTGGGGTGGTGGCTCCTGAGTGGCTCTGAATCGTCCCTTTTCTGAGCCTGGTTTTCCTTCCTCTGAGTGAGATTGCGGCTCCCCGGTGCCTGCTGCTCAGAGCTCTGCTGGCAGCATCTGGTCTTGGGAGGGCAGTGCTTCCGATGGAGGTGCTGCCACACGGGCAGGGAGGAAGTGCGCCCACCAGGGTCAGGCACTGATGCTGACTGTCCCCGGAGCTCAGACTGGGGAGCGAATGTGTCATGTTTGGAATGGACCTGGACTCGGGTCTGGGTTCTCTATGCACGCGTGCGTTTGCTCTGAGCCAGTATTGCTTGAGATGGCCTCGTTCTGACAGCTGCCTTGGGGTTGCATTTGTGGGGTCCATGGTGAGGATGGAACCTCTCTGACCTGTGGAATCTCCCCAGGGAGTGACCCTGACAGACCTGCAGGAGGCAGAGAGGACCTTCAGCCAGTCCAGGGCAGAGCGGCAGGCTCAGGACCAGCCTGACCAGAAGCCGGCGGGCACCGAAGGGCCAGAGAGCCACGCCGAGAGGCATGAGACCTCCGCAGTCCCTGCAAAGGACGCTGGGGAGGGCCGCCAGCCCTGGGCCCGGGGTCTGGATGAAGAGGTGAGCTCGTGTCGGCCGCACGCCCTGTGCTGGGGCAGGTGGTGCAGGTCTTCCTGATGCCGCGTGGCCGGCTCCCGGAAGCAGCCTCATGCTCGCTGGTGAGCCTGCAGCTGAGGGCTTCAGAGCTGTCCATCAGTTAAGTGGTGGTGTTTTCCTCTGGGAGTAACGGATTTTTTTTCTGGGTTTACTGAGATTTCACTGACATATAACACCAACAGTTTTAGGTGTACAATGTGATAACTTGATGTAGGTAGGTGTATGTTGTGAAATGATCACCACAGTGAGTTTAATTATCTAAATTTAACCTAACCTATTCTTAAAAGAGGTTGTAGGTTAATAGACTGCAAATAGAAATATGAGTATTTATTGGGTGTTTACTTTGTACAAGGCATCATGCTAACTGCTGCATATGTATCAATTTGTTTAGCCCTCTAATAAAACCTCTGCGGCAGACACCACTCCTGCTTTAGCATGAGGAAGTGTCATGGAGGTAGGGCAGCTCGCCCAGCGTCTTGCACTGAGATGTGGTTAAACGAGGATCTGGACGTGGGCAGAGTGTTGTTCTCCAAATTCCGGCCAACCTCCAAGCTTACAGACCCCTTAGCCCCATGCACACATGGGGTCACTGCTGGAATGGCCATCTCTGTGGTCCCACCACTCCACTGGAGTTAGCGGTCAGGGCTGCGAGGTCCTATTTCTGTGGATGTAGCTCCTGGTTGTCCTAAGGTGGTCCCAGCACACCGTCATCTCTGCAGTTGTCAGAACCACTTCATTTCCCTCAGTGTGTCCCAGCCACACAACCAGTCTCACAGTGTCACCATGGCGACGGGGACGACGCCTCCCTACTCTGACCTGCCTGCAGGGCTGCTCCATGGGCAGCTGATTGCTGAGCTCGTTCTCAGCACCTCCATGCTCCATCCACACAGCCCCTCCCAGAGTGGGTCCCTGTTTTACAGATGAGGACACTGGGGCTCAGAGAGGTTAAGTAACGTATCCGAGTCACACAGCAGTAAATGCTGAAGCTAGAATTTGGACCAAGTTCTGACTCCAAAGTCCACTGTATTTTATCGCTTCTGTCTGTATGATTTATGAACGAAAAAACTATGTGCAGTAAGAATTTCTCTGTCTCTGCATCTTTGATAAACCAAGTTAAGGCTTGCTGTCAGGCTCTGTCTGTCCTAACTCCTGGGGAAAACATTCACGAGAGAAATGGGGATTCTTCTCGAGCACCAGTGTGCGGGTTGGGGCAGGTCGGGGGAGCGGAGACTCTGGTGGAGGCTGCAGCGCTGGTCTCTGCTCCCAGACCCCCCCCCCTTTCCGATGGCACTATGCGGGGCTTCCAGGGCCTCATCCCATGGTCCTTGCCCTTCCTGTTCCCATTCCAGAGTCATAGAGGCATTCGATCCGATGCCATGCTGCCTGGGAACCCTTTGGCAGTGTAGCATCAGGGTAGGGACCCACGAGCTCTTTCCTTTCTAGCTAATAAACTAACTTCAGCTATTTATGGAGCATTTTGGGGTAGAAAAGCCCATTCCCAGCAAACCTGCTGTGCATATCCTTTGGTCGGGCCTGACCAGCAACATTCCCATGGGTCACCTCCAGCCTGTCCCTCGCCGCCTGAGGTGTGCAGCTGCGCCAGACAAGCCCACGACAGCTGTGTCCCCGTCCACATCGGCCCTCTGCACCAGCTCCCACCTGCTGCGGACAAGCACACCGCCAGCCCCTGACCCGGAGACAAAGGACATGGACAAAGATGGTGGGTGAGCCCCTGGACATGCAGCCCCCTGTGTGTGCCCCGAATCTGAGTGCTCACTCCTCGCTTTCTCCCTGGCAGAGAGTGAGGAAGCAGGTGTGGACGACCCGTCCTCTGGCGGGCTGTCCATCCGTGAGAGGAGGCGGCCCCGAGAGCGGCGGAGAGGCACGGGCATCAACTTCTGGATGAAGGACGTAAGTGACGGTCTGTGCGGGCACCTGGCCTGGCCGTGGGCGCCTGCTCTGTGGAGCTGAGTCCCCACGTGGTGCCTGGTGCAGCTAGTCAGGGGTGTCCATGGGAGAAGGAAGGAGAAGGAGCTAGTGTGAGGCTCGCTCGGGGTATTCCTCGGGGTCCGTGCTCAGTAAATGACAGGTGATGCGTGAAAACTGAGGTTCACACCGGGAACCAGCCTGCCATCTCAACAGTCCTCCTCACATCCCCGGAAGTCAGCCGCCCGGGGTCTGAGAGGGAGAGGTCAGAAGTAGGAACTCTGGGACACCACAGGGGCTGACCAGTTCTCTGACAGGGAGACCAAGTGGACTGACTTGGCAGAGGGGAGGGCAGGTCTGTTCGTCTTAAAGCTCCCCTCTCGTCCGGGGCGCCATCGATACCGTGACGCTGCTGAGACAGTAGGACTCTGAGCTGTCTGCAGCGGTCGAAGCAGGCGACCCCCGCCTACCCCTGTGCTGACGGGCCTGGGTGCCTCACTGATGGCCAAGCCTCCTGCTGTCGGGGCGTCTGTGACTGTGACCCTCTTGTGTTTCTTCCTCTCTCTTTGTCAGGAAGATGAAGCCGATGGCTCTGAAGAGGTGAAGGAAGCGTGGGTAAGTGACAGCCAGTGCAGGTGTCCCTCACGGGCCTGCGCGCGTGCAACTTGAAGGAGGAGGAGAGGCCGTGCAGAGCAGGCACCTTGATGGAGGAGGGGAGGCCGTGCAGAGCAGGCACCTTGATGGAGGAGGGGAGGCTGTGCAGAGCAGGCACCTTGATGGAGGAGGGGAGGCCGTGCAGAGCAGGCACCTTGATGGAGGAGGGGAGGCCGTGCAGAGCAGGCAACTTGAAGGAGGAGGAGAGGCCGTGCAGAGCAGGCACCTTGATGGAGGAGGGGAGGCCGTGCAGAGTGGGCACCTTGATGGAGGAGGGGAGGCCGTGCAGAGTGGGCACCTTGATGGAGGAGGGGAGGCCGTGCAGAGTGGGCACCTTGATGGAGGAGGGGAGGCCGTGCAGAGTGGGCACCTTGATGGAGGAGGGGAGGCCGTGCAGAGTGGGCACCTTGATGGAGGAGGGGAGGCCGTGCAGAGTGGGGCTACAGGCCGTTGGCAAACCGCCTCCTTGGAGCCGCATTGCAGGCGCAGGGGCTGCCTGCTGTCTGTGCTGTGAACACCTTGAGCGGCTTCCTCCGTGTCTGTCTCCTGCGATCTCCAGCACAGCTGCAGGGCCTGTCTCCTTTCCCTTGTGGTAATGTCCCTGACTCGTGCCTTCGAGTCTTTAGAAGGAAGTGGAGACCGGCACTGTTTGCGGCGTCGTTGCAATGCCCGTCATCTGAATGATGCCAGCACCTCGCAGATGAGGTTATGGCTGGAGGGGCCCTGCCAGCTGCCCTCCATTGTGGACAGGACAGACCAGCCGTGAGTTTCTGTGGCGGAGACACCAGGAGTGATGCTGAGAAGGCAGGGACCATGCTCGAGCCAGTGCACTGCATGGCCGTCAGACCTGCCCCCGCTGGTCAGTGGGTGAACCAGCAAGCCTGGCAATGATTCCACGCCTTAGCCCCTGGCAGTCGCGTCTACCCCACCGTCTGGTGGGTTTCTAGCCCCGGCGTGTGAGCGTCTCCCCGAGGCCTTGTCTTGCTAAGTGACAAACTGAACCTGAGTCCTAATGTGAGGAGGGCTGCTCCAGTCCCGCCTGCTGGACATTACCTGTGGAGTCAGCTTGGGGGTGCAGGACAGGTGGTGTCCCAGAGCCTCCGAAACTTCTGAAACGAGCTGCGGCCTCTCTGTAGACCTCGCTCGAGGCCTCGGAGCCCAGGGACGTCTGAGACGGTTGCCCTATGTTCTGCCCTCCTGACCATCCTCAGCTTTAGGACCCCTGTGAACAGCCAATGTCCCCGTCTCACCCGGGAGGCTCTGTGAGAAGCGGGCTTCTCGGGCTGCTGTGCCCCACTCAGACAGCTCTGGGCCCGCCTCCGGGCCACGAGACCCAGCGCGCACTTCCGAGATGAGAGCTGAGGCCCAGAGGTGAGAAGTGCTGCTGCGTCACTGCCGTGCTGCTCGTCTGCGGCGGTTGCAGGATGTCAGGTGGATCTGGAGTCTGTTCTAGTCTCAGGTGACACCCTAGTGGGGCAGGCACGAGAGTGGACACGCTGAACTGCAGCCCGGCGGCTGGGCCCGGCTCGGCTGTGTCCCCATTCCCTCGTGTATGAATGGGAGTGCTGTCGGGTCGACCCTTAGACACGGGAGTGACTTGGTTGGGGTGCTCGAGACCCACTGAGCCACCTTCCAGAGCTGCAGGCTCCTGAGTCGGGGTGAGAGGGACTCTTCCGTTGGCCTTAGAGTTGTGGGACTGGACGTCACTTACTAGTCTGTCTGCGGAGAAGGGATCATTTGGGTCAGAGGTGGCTCAGGCCCCTCCAACAGGTGTGAGTGTCCTGATGAGTTTTGAGAAGTAAATTCTAGAGGGGCTGCCGGGAGGGAGAAGAGACCTGAGTGGGAAGGGCAGGAGTGGGGCCAACGTTCCCACTCGCTCTGAGCCCTGAGGTTTGTCCTCCATCAGGGAGGCTCCACCTGACGCCTGAACGGCCGTGTCCCTGTTTGTCCATGTTCCCGGCAGCTCACGCCTCTCCCAGCAAATGGCAGCCTGTTCCTGTCTGCTCTGGTTCTCAGCTGTGCTCCTGGCCTTCCGCTGGGTGCTTCCCCGCTCTCGAGCAGGGCTCCTCGGTCTTGTCACTTAGCCTGTAGAAGCCCCTTTCTTGCTGGAGGTGCCCGGTGATTTTCCATCCTTCTGGGTAAAATCCAGGAATGAGAACCTCCCTTTCTATCTCGACTCCTAATATGGTTAGGTATGTCCCGGCAAGCTGCCGAGACTCAGCCGCTGCCTGGCCGGGTTGGAAGACATGGGAGGTGGTTGTTATTCAGACAGTGAAATAACATAGCTCACGGTATCCGTGTAACAGCCACAGTCCTTTGAACAGAGTGAGTGGAGAATAAGACATAGATGTTCCCCCTCAGCCTCTTCATCTTACCCCGATAAGAAAGGGGGGATCGGCCTGCTCCTGAAACAGGCGTTCTGGGGAGTGCGAGGAGTCGGGTGGTATCACGATGCTCGTGGGGACAGCCACTCCGTGAGACGCTGTCCTGTCCGCCGGGCGCTGCTGGCCAGTCACCAGGGCAGGGCCGTGGGGAAGGAGGCGGAATTGAGAGCCGGTGTCTGAGACTGTGTGTGGGGTCTGCCCCAGAGGTGGCCCTGCACCCCGAGGGCCACATGGACCTTCCACCCCAGGCTGTGCTGCGCTTCTCTTGTCATCTTCCTTTTTAGGATTCGGTTAATTTTAGGTCATGCTGTTGCCAAGGCGATCCCATCATCAGAGCTCACATGTGCTCCCCTGAGACCCTGTAGCCGGGCCCAGCGCCCGCTGCACCAGTGCGCTCTGTGTCAGTCAGGAGTCTTTCTTACTGTATTTCTTTGTGTTTTTTGTAAATTCTGACACGGATATTTTCTCCATTGGTTTTTACAGAGTGGAAAGGAGGGAGGGAGAGAGAGAACCATCAATGTGAGAGAGACACATTGATTGACTGCCTCCCACATGTGCCCTGATTGGGATCAGGGATCAAACCTGCAACCCAGGTATGTGCCCTTTTCCGGGAATCGAGCATGACTCTTCAGTATGAAGGCCATACTGACCACTGAGCCACACCAGCCAGGCAGGGACCTTTCTTGAGACAGAATAAATTGATTCCATGGGATCCGTGTGGACTTTGTTCAACGTCTCATGCCTGGACGAGGAAGGTGTGTCCGCGACCGGGGAGGGAGCCGGCGCCTGCTGGTTCTCCTGTCCCCCTTCCTTCCTTGTGCGTCACTGCCTCTGGGTGTGGTGGTGGCTGCGACCTTCGGCCTCTTAGCTAGAGGGACACTGGGGAGCGTGAGCCCTGCCGGACCTCGTGGTTGTCTTGGGGGCAGGAAGTCCCGGGGAGCGCAGGGCCCCAGTGGAGTCCTGGGTCCCACTAGGGTCCGGCAATGGGCGGGGCTGCGTGTCCGGTGTCCTGTGTGGCACCGGCACCCTGCACCGTCGGGGATGAAAGCTCTGTTCTCCGAGTCCAAACCGCCCTTGATCTCACATGGGAAGGCACGTTTTCCGCAGAGGGAGGTTCTGAAAGTTCAACCACCATGAACTTGAGGAAACTACCTCGTTTTGCTTCTCTCTGATGGTGGGGCCCTGAAAGCTTGCACCCAGGCCCGCGTCTGCCGTCTGCTCCAGGACGCCGGGCCTCCAGTGGCTCTCGGGCCTCCTGGTGTCACTGGCCCAGAGTTTAACGTGAGTCATGCATCGCATCCCAGATTACTTTCTGCTTGTCCACGCGATGGGTTGTTACGGTTCTAGCTAAGTTTCATATCTGTGGATTTCATTTTAGGGTCGTAAAGGTTGGGGTGTGTTAGAAAATTTTGTTACAAAAGGGAATTCTCTCTGCTATAAAAAACAAGAAAAAATTGTTCGAAATCATACTGCTCAGAAGAAATTACTGTTTAACATTCTGCTGAATTTCCTGCTGGTATTTTTTCTAAGTTGCTTTTTTAAAAAAAACATGTTCAAAACCAGCTAATGACATTCTTAAGAAAGGGATCATTTTCACCCTGAGTGTTCCTGGGACCCCATCATTACCCTAATGACAGTCTGGTCAGGTCGTCTTCAAAGCACGTGGGTTCCACTCTGATTATCAGAGTCGTCAGTCTGGGGACGGCTGATTATGGCCTCCAGGAGTGACTCCTGGCAGTCCGGGGAGTGCGTTTCTTCTGAGGACGGCGGGGCGGGGCCGCAGAGGGCTCGCGGTGGCTGAGGAGTGGCTGATGGGAGTCCTGGCCCGTGGCTGGGGAGCCGCTTAGTGTGGGGCTCGCGTCTTCTCAGTAAACGGAGTGTTGACAGTGGTGCCCCGCAGGAGCACTGAGCTCCAGGCCCTGACTGTTGTCGCCTGCAGGGTGTTATTTTGGTGGGACCTGAAGGTGGGCTGGTGCAGGGAGATGTGAGACGAAGGCTTGCGGTCTCTGCCGTCTCAGCCGCCACTCAGCACTGTGAGTCTGCTCCATAGAAACGCAGTCGCACCCAGACGTGGTCCTGAAAGCCGGCGGGCGATGGCTCACAGTTCTCAGCAGAGTGTGGCTCACGCGGCTTCTCCATGCTCGACACTGCCATGTTCCTGCTCCTGAGAAGAAGGGGGGCAGGGGGTTCAGGAGCCTGTCGGCAGAGCAATGGCTCAGACTGAACCCTGACACGCCTGGGGCTCGTGGCTCTGGTTGTTTCTGGAATTCTCTCGCGATGGAAGCATTCTGAGCGGGAAAGGGCATGTGTGGGTGTTGTGTAACCAAATAAAACATTTTGTGATGTTTTACTTGGGTGCTGGGGATTGTCACACGCGATATGCCATGTGGGCGCATCGTGGCCACCTTGGTGGCCGACACCAGGCTGTCCTTTCTCCAGTGTCCCGTGTGGCCACTGCCAGCTGTCGTGGGGCCTGTGCTCTGCCCCCCAGCAGTGTGTTGGGGGGGGTGAGCCTTGTCTCCAGCTGGTCACGTGGCCAGGGCCCGGCCAGCTGCAGGTCACGTTGTCCGTGGAACT